CCTGTGCTTTTGAATTTGTGATTTTTAATATTATTTCAGCTTTTTAATGTGTTTGCTTTATATTAATTGCAATATTTTGTTATAATTTTCTTGCTTGTGGGTGGATTCTTGTATTTTTTACTGTTGGAAAGTTTTGGCTTTCATTTTATGTTTTTCTTTTTTCATAGTGACTTTTACAGATACTGGGTTCTTTTTAATTTTTATAGTTCTTATTTATTTTTACAGGATTTTTTGTTTTTGTGAAATGTTCCTTCTGTTCATGTAGTGAAGTGCAGTTTCTTGTTAATTAATAGCAATGCGGGGGGGGGGGCTCTTGTCTTTTAAATTTTTTTTCCTGTTATATAATTTTAATGGGTACTTATTTTCAACTGCTTCCTTCTTTTTGCCACCAAAGCGATAAGAAACATCTCACTCTCTGTTTCCTCCTTCATCCCAGGAGTAGTGCCTTCCCTATACTACCACCTGTATTTCAGTATACTACTCAAGCTTTTGTGTTTAAAATATCCAAAAGCCAGTGCTTTGATTTACTGAGGGTCCTTTCTTTCAGGCAGCAAAACTCTAGTTGACATTATATGGTGTTTTACTATTCATAATGTTTGTCACCATAAAGACCACACTGATTTTCCACCCTTTCTGCAGACTCAGACAGACTCTTTGTTTTGAGGTCTCTGGAATATACTGCTGATAGCTGATGCTTGCCCACCACAAGAAAAATCTATAAATTTGTAAATTCCCAGTCTCTTTGATATTTTTAGGCTTGAAAATAGGTGATTATTTTTGTTCCTGCCAAGACCAATATAGTTTTTAAGAACCTATGGGCATAGGAATTGCTTTTAAAAGGATATCATTCTATAATTTTCTGTTACATTTCAACTAATTAATGTCTAACCTGGGCTTTTTATTAACTGTTTGAATTTTCTTTTTTTTTCCTGAAGATTTATTTATTTATTTAGACATACAGAACTGGGGTACAGGCCAGAGGTGCAAGGCCAGTGAAAGGATTCACCAGAGACAGAGTGGGGAGCAGAACAGGCAGAGTGACGAAATACACTGCTGAGGGGAGCAGCAGGTGGATCAGGAGAGGCCTTCCATGCCGTGTGAATCACTCCATGGCTGGTGATCAAACTTGCACTGAAAAGGGTGTGCCTCGCTTGCAATGCTGCATCCTAACCCGTTGCGCCACCAGGGAGGGCCCTGAATTTCCTTTTTAATAGGTGACATATACTATGGATGAATATTAAGAATAGCTGAAAAAGACCACCTATGTTTAAAAAACACGAACCTGCCATTTTTTTTGTTAAATATTCTTTGTTAATACTCAATATGCCCTTACTTGATAAAATATGTTGGATAAAGGAAGCCCTATAAAGAGTTAAAGGATGCTTTGACTAACCTAGAGGAGGCTTTGCTAAGCCAGTAGTTCATGTGTTTCTTTTTTTTTTTTCCTTTTTGGATGCCCTGGAAATTTTTATGCCTGAGTGGAATGCACCACAGTAAAAATCTTGGTTTATGAAGAGTAGGCCTTTCTTCTGAAGAGTGGGGGAGAGGACTTTTTGAAAAGAGAAACTGAACATAGAAAATCTATGAAAGATTTTGTATAGAAATTCACGATCTAGAGGTTAATTCCTTTATATTTATTGCTGATGTGCAAAGTAGGGGAATGCCCACTCTGGTTTGAATACCACTGCCCTAGTGATCAATGAATATGTGGACAAGGTATAATAGAAAGTTAATTGAAACCTAGTTAAAAGTTGCAGAAATCTGTGTACATCACTCTGCTGTAGTGGAAGTAAGTAAATTAGAACCATATGTTTGTCATGGATATCTCAAGAGCATAAATACTAAGTCTAAAAGGATATTACAGAAGGCATTGTTCAGTATGACACAATTTATATAAAATTTAAATAAATGGGAAATAATGCAAGTTACATTTACCTTTTTTTTTTTTAAGATTTTATTTATTTATT